TGATTTTAGAAACTAAGTTTTAAGTCGATCGGTTGAAAAATGCGGATTTTTCAAACAAACTTTGGAGCTACATTTCCCCCCTTTGGAGCTCGAATTTTCCAAAATCACTTAGTGCGCATCTACACCATGATAGGATACTTGAGCCCAAATTTCAGCATCCTAGCTTTTACCGTGTGGGCTGTTGACGCGGTTTCCTTTTGTGCCCCAAGAAAACCCCAATAATTCAAGCTCCAACCAAAAATTTAAAAAAGCAAGTATACAGTTTTTCTTGGAATTGTTCTGAGAGTATACAAACTTGTTTGAAGTTGAAAGTTTGAAGTTAATCAGATGAAAACTGTAGATTTTTCATACAAACGTTGGAGCCTGTTTTCCCCCCATTGGAGCTCGAGTTTTCCAAAATCCCTTCTTAGTGGGCACCTAGACTATGAAAGGATACTTGAGTCCAAATTTCAGCTTCCTAGCCTTTACCCTTTGGGCTGTGCGTTGATCACCAATCAGTCAGTCAGTCAGGACAAACGTTTTTATATATATATGTAGATGCTGCAGCGCTGCTCAAGCGCTGCCCGCAAATGTGTATTTTGGAATTTCCCTCCAGCCCCTCTCTCCAAAGCAAATCGCGATTTTCTCTCACTCTCGTAATTCTTGGAATTTCGAACTTATGTTATGTGTCCGTATGTCAAGTTTCACTATGAAAGACCGATTTAACAAGAAGTTATAGCCATAAATATATTTGCTGCTGCAGCGCAGCTCTAGCGCTGCCCGCGGCTGTTGTTGATGTTGCTGTTTGGTTGACTGCACACATGTTTACGCATAGGCATACATACACTCACACAGACGCAATTGCTATGCAAATGTGCAATTATACACCCTTTACGTTAGTTCGAATACGAAAAGAGGTAAAATCGATCAAAATTTTTTTTGTTAATTGGTTTTGTAAACATATGTACAGAGTATTTTAAAGTCGGGACACCCGACTTTAGCTTTTTTACTTGTTTTATTTTCACTCAAGGGTACATTGGGGTACAAGGACACATTTGGGAATTCTGTTATAGTTTCTTCGATGACTTTGCTTTTACAAATCAACAATAGACAAATCATTCAGCTACTAATCATAAACCCATCGCCAAAGGGAACAACCCGTTTAATAAGTCTTGTACTAGAAATCTTAAGGTAAAAACAGGGGCTTGCTGCTGAAGAAGTAATTCAAAACGTGGTTGACAGTTTTCCAATTCAAGTTCTCGAAGACCGTTTTTTTTGCGTTCGCTTTGGCGATCTCATTCCTTCTGGGGCAGCATTTGTTAAGCATATTTAAATTTTAAAAACAATAAATCGGTTCAATATGCCGGATCAATTCCAATAGTGATATCTGAAAAAAACAGTTCGGGTATTAGGGGCAAAAGTTGAAAGTGGACTGTTTTACTATACATTTAACTAAGCCGGCAGGATCCCGCACATCGGCCGCAATCTGAGCAGAAGTATTTTTTAGTCCAGCCTTATTCCGACGAGTTTTACGTTTTTTATTAATATAGGATTGTTGTATGTGTATACTTTTCCTATAACTAGGGGGACATCACGGTTCCGCAATTGCATTTTTTAAGCAAATTTTTTATCTTTATTCCAGAATTTCATGTGTATATTCATTTATAGGAAGTGTTTCGAAGTGTGACTTATCGAGAAATGAATTGTGATTCGATTGGAATGTTCATCATATACCCCCAAATAGGTGGGGATTTCCCCAAAGCACTGTACAGCAATCTGCGATCACTTTAAAATTTTAAAAACATCGTGAATATATCAAAGGCCAAACTAACCCTTTTAAAAACGATAGCAAATTTGGGGTAAGAACAGCATGACCAACACTATGTATAAATGTATAAATAGAATAAATAGAATCGGCCAAAATTTCCAAGTTTTTGTTCCATTTTGAGGTCGTATTTTTGGTCTATTTACAAATATTGTAATCTAATCAAGAAGTCACTTTTTCCAAATGTGTCACTGACATCATGATTTACTCACATATCACATAACCACGCCCACTTTTTAAAAATAGTTTATTGTTTGAAGCCTACTGTTTAAAATATAGACCTTGCTATAACTAACACTATAGGACCTAGGGATATTAAATTTAAAGTCCAAGATGCCTTATGTGAATACGCAGAAAATGTGTTTTTTAGAATTTCCCTACCTCCCCCCCACTCCAATGCAAATCACGATTTCCTCTAACTCCCGTAATTCTTAGAATTTCTAACTAAAATTTTGCAAATACCTCCAGTTAGTTATTTTGTGTCCGTATGCCAAGTTTCATCATAATAGGTCTTTAACAAGAAGTTATAGCCATAAATATATTTGACTAGCAGGTATTGCCCGTCTTAACCCGGCTCAATATAATGTTTCCAATTGTATTTATTTTGTGTGTGCATAGCCTACCCATATGCTTTCACATTATAAGTTACAAGTGGGAAGGCATTTAAGGTATTTAAATGAACATTTTCTGTTCTTGACAAAAAATTATTCAGTAGTCCGTTACATTTTTGTTCTTACCAAACTATTTGGTTAAACGAACATGACCACTATAACTAATATTTTTTAAAGCTCGTTTTCCCCCCTTTGGAGCTAGAATTTTCCAAAAGCCTTTCTTAGTGTGCTCCTACACTATGATGGATACTTGAGTCCAAATTTCATCTTTTACCGTTTGGGCTGTGCGTTGATCACCAATTAGTCAGGACAAACTGTTTTTTATATAGAGATAACGCAACGTTTTAAGATAGACTATGTGCAAAAATGGGGAATAATTATAAGGGTATATCTTAATTCTAAATTCACCTTTGAGTCTTTCGTGTCATATTGAGTCAATACGGTCACGCACAAACTCGGAATATGAAACACGGCACTCATGTCAATGCCGTGCAGCGATGAGCCACGATCAAAAAGCACTGACAATTCTCATCTCAATTTGCTAGAGTAAAACTTTCGATAGTTGAAGCCACCGATACCATCAAAATATCGAAGTTTGAATGCAATAAGCAGAATATTTAAGTAATAAAATCTAATTATTTATTGAGATCAATAAGAACAAATCATATACATACATACATCTGCCCGCAATGCGAAGCTTTACTATCGGTTTTTGCTTTACTATCGCTTACGCACTCGTTGCCTAGCGACGGTAACTGTAAATTTTTGGTGTTTTGCCTTTGCAATTAACATTAAATGGTCACAACGAAAGAAGAAGAGCGAGCCAATGACTTGCAGTTGTTGTTGTTTTTAGAGCATTATTTTTTTACAATCAAACAACTGTGTTCGATTGCCCAATGTATATATTAATGCGAATGTACATACATGCTATATTCATACAAAGGCATACATACATACATATGTATGTTTCTCTTTACTTTTTCAACCATACGTAGAGAACCGCACACATAGACACGAACTGTTGCTTGTTGTGTGTGTGAGTGTGTATATGTGATGTCCCCAACTATTTGATATTTGTTGTTGCTGCATAAAGTTATTAATGCCAAATGCACTAAACAACATAGATGTGCACATATGTATGGACATTCACACATTAGTGTCTCACATTTTGCTTTGGCTATTTCAATCGTTTGCACGCAACTACACGAACAGCTGTTTGTATGTGTGTATGTATACTTAGTTGTCCCCAACTGTTTGATATTTTGTATTGTTTGTTCTGCATGCTTTTGTAAAATGCATATTTTGAAAATCCATGAATGCAAAGTTGTAGATTTAGTTACGTAGATTACATTACCCAAATTTTAAATCGATCGGACTAAATTTATAACACAAACTTTTCATTTGAAATAGTGAATAAATATTAAAACCCCAATAATTCAAGCTCCAACACAAATCTAAGTATGCAGTTTTGTTTGCATTCTTTAATTGATTTTAGAAACTAAGTTTTAAGTCGATCGGTTGAAAAATGCGGATTTTTCAAACAAACTTTGGAGCTACATTTCCCCCCTTTGGAGCTCGAATTTTCCAAAATCACTTAGTGCGCATCTACACCATGATAGGATACTTGAGCCCAAATTTCAGCATCCTAGCTTTTACCGTGTGGGCTGTTGACGCGGTTTCCTTTTGTGCCCCAAGAAAACCCCAATAATTCAAGCTCCAACCAAAAATTTAAAAAACCAAGTATACAGTTTTTCTTGGAATTGTTCTGAGAGTATACAAACTTGTTTGAAGTTGAAAGTTTGAAGTTAATCAGATGAAAACTGTAGATTTTTCATACAAACGTTGGAGCCTGTTTTCCCCCCCTTTGGAGCTCGAGTTTTCCAAAATCCCTTCTTAGTGGGCACCTAGACTATGAAAGGATACTTGAGTCCAAATTTCAGCTTCCTAGCCTTTACCCTTTGGGCTGTGCGTTGATCACCAATCAGTCAGTCAGTCAGGACAAACGTTTTTATATATATATGTAGATGCTGCAGCGCTGCTCAAGCGCTGCCCGCAAATGTGTATTTTGGAATTTCCCTCCAGCCCCTCTCTCCAAAGCAAATCGCGATTTTCTCTCACTCTCGTAATTCTTGGAATTTCGAACTTATGTTATGTGTCCGTATGTCAAGTTTCACTATGAAAGACCGATTTAACAAGAAGTTATAGCCATAAATATATTTGCTGCTGCAGCGCAGCTCTAGCGCTGCCCGCGGCTGTTGTTGATGTTGCTGTTTGGTTGACTGCACACATGTTTACGCATAGGCATACATACACTCACACAGACGCAATTGCTATGCAAATGTGCAATTATACACCCTTTACGTTAGTTCGAATACGAAAAGAGGTAAAATCGATCAAAATTTTTTTTTGTTAATTGGTTTTGTAAACATATGTACAGAGTATTTTAAAGTCGGGACACCCGACTTTAGCTTTTTTACTTGTTTTATTTTCACTCAAGGGTACATTGGGGTACAAGGACACATTTGGGAATTCTGTTATAGTTTCTTCGATGACTTTGCTTTTACAAATCAACAATAGACAAATCATTCAGCTACTAATCATAAACCCATCGCCAAAGGGAACAACCCGTTTAATAAGTCTTGTACTAGAAATCTTAAGGTAAAAACAGGGGCTTGCTGCTGAAGAAGTAATTCAAAACGTGGTTGACAGTTTTCCAATTCAAGTTCTCGAAGACCGTTTTTTTGCGTTCGCTTTGGCGATCTCATTCCTTCTGGGGCAGCATTTGTTAAGCATATTTAAATTTTAAAAACAATAAATCGGTTCAATATGCCGGATCAATTCCAATAGTGATATCTGAAAAAAACAGTTCGGGTATTAGGGGCAAAAGTTGAAAGTGGACTGTTTTACTATACATTTAACTAAGCCGGCAGGATCCCGCACATCGGCCGCAATCTGAGCAGAAGTATTTTTTAGTCCAGCCTTATTCCGACGAGTTTTACGTTTTTTATTAATATAGGATTGTTGTATGTGTATACTTTTCCTATAACTAGGGGGACATCACGGTTCCGCAATTGCATTTTTTAAGCAAATTTTTTATCTTTATTCCAGAATTTCATGTGTATATTCATTTATAGGAAGTGTTTCGAAGTGTGACTTATCGAGAAATGAATTGTGATTCGATTGGAATGTTCATCATATACCCCCAAATAGGTGGGGATTTCCCCAAAGCACTGTACAGCAATCTGCGATCACTTTAAAATTTTAAAAACATCGTGAATATATCAAAGGCCAAACTAACCCTTTTAAAAACGATAGCAAATTTGGGGTAAGAACAGCATGACCAACACTATGTATAAATGTATAAATAGAATAAATAGAATCGGCCAAAATTTCCAAGTTTTTGTTCCATTTTGAGGTCGTATTTTTGGTCTATTTACAAATATTGTAATCTAATCAAGAAGTCACTTTTTCCAAATGTGTCACTGACATCATGATTTACTCACATATCACATAACCACGCCCACTTTTTAAAAATAGTTTATTGTTTGAAGCCTACTGTTTAAAATATAGACCTTGCTATAACTAACACTATAGGACCTAGGGATATTAAATTTAAAGTCCAAGATGCCTTATGTGAATACGCAGAAAATGTGTTTTTTAGAATTTCCCTACCCCCCCCCCACTCCAATGCAAATCACGATTTCCTCTAACTCCCGTAATTCTTGGAATTTCTAACTAAAATTTTGCAAATACCTCCAGTTAGTTATTTTGTGTCCGTATGCCAAGTTTCATCATAATAGGTCTTTAACAAGAAGTTATAGCCATAAATATATTTGACTAGCAGGTATTGCCCGTCTTAACCCGGCTCAATATAATGTTTCCAATTGTATTTATTTTGTGTGTGCATAGCCTACCCATATGCTTTCACATTATAAGTTACAAGTGGGAAGGCATTTAAGGTATTTAAATGAACATTTTCTGTTCTTGACAAAAAATTATTCAGTAGTCCGTTACATTTTTGTTCTTACCAAACTATTTGGTTAAACGAACATGACCACTATAACTAATATTTTTTAAAGCTCGTTTTCCCCCCTTTGGAGCTAGAATTTTCCAAAAGCCTTTCTTAGTGTGCTCCTACACTATGATGGATACTTGAGTCCAAATTTCATCTTTTACCGTTTGGGCTGTGCGTTGATCACCAATTAGTCAGGACAAACTGTTTTTTATATAGAGATAACGAAACGTTTTAAGATAGACTATGTGCAAAAATGGGGAATAATTATAAGGGTATATCTTAATTCTAAATTCACCTTTGAGTCTTTCGTGTCATATTGAGTCAATACGGTCACGCACAAACTCGGAATATGAAACACGGCACTCATGTCAATGCCGTGCAGCGATGAGCCACGATCAAAAAGCACTGACAATTCTCATCTCAATTTGCTAGAGTAAAACTTTCGATAGTTGAAGCCACCGATACCATCAAAATATCGAAGTTTGAATGCAATAAGCAGAATATTTAAGTAATAAAATCTAATTATTTATTGACATCAATAAGAACAAATCATATACATACATACATCTGCCCGCAATGCGAAGCTTTACTATCGGTTTTTGCTTTACTATCGCTTACGCACTCGTTGCCTAGCGACGGTAACTGTAAATTTTTGGTGTTTTGCCTTTGCAATTAACATTAAATGGTCACAACGAAAGAAGAAGAGCGAGCCAATGACTTGCAGTTGTTGTTGTTTTTAGAGCATTATTTTTTTTACAATCAAACAACTGTGTTCGATTGCCCAATGTATACATTAATGCGAATGTACATACATGCTATATTCATACAAAGGCATACATACATACATATGTATGTTTCTCTTTACTTTTTCAACCGTACGTAGAGAACCGCACACATAGACACGAACTGTTGCTTGTTGTGTGTGTGAGTGTGTGTATGTGATGTCCCCAACTATTTGATATTTGTTGTTGCTGCATAAAGTTATTAATGCCAAATGCACTAAACAAAGAAAAAATTACTTTTAAAAATGTTATATAATTTTCAATTAATTAACATTTCTTGCTCTGTCAGTGCAAGACGAATGTACATACATACATATGTACATACATATGTACACACATAGATGTGCACATATGTATGGACATTCACACATTAGTGTCTCACATTTTGCTTTGGCTATTTCAATCGTTTGCACGCAACTACACGAACAGCTGTTTGTATGTGTGTATGTATACTTAGTTGTCCCCAACTGTTTGTAATAATATACGTTGTTTCCATTATGAGTTTTTATTCTTCTTTATTTTATTCACGACACTCAAACTTAAAACTTGAACTTATACTGACTTCTTACATTTTACTTAAAGTGAACTTAGCTAAGGCCTCGTAGCTGCGCTGCCAGAGACGCCGGCAGCGGAGCGGCCGCATTATGTATTTTACTTATGTATTTGTACTCAGCGCTGTTGGCAGCGAGAGCACGAGGGAGAATGTTATGTGCACTTGAGGTGGCTGACACTAGTTGCACTGACGCTGCACTTATGTCGCCCAATGCATGTGCGATCATATTACATCGCGTCCGAATTATGCTTGGCTTTTTGAATTAATTTATTCACTGCAATAAAGTGTTACAGTGTATGTTCTTAAGAGTGCACTGCGTACAGTGTGTACTCCTTATGTATGCACACTACATCTCCCTCCTTTTGAAAAATAACGTAATATTATGAAGTTATTTTCTAAATTATTTATCTATTAATTTCATGTATATCTAGTTATGAAATATGTTTATATCTTTATGATTCGTTTCTTATTAATCTATTTGTTTTGTTTGTTTAATAATGTTTTTAAAGGGAAAATTGATATATGTATGTATATACTTATTTGTATGTATAAATTTTGTTTTTTATCTTATTTTTATTTTATTTTATTATTATTTTTTTTTTTTTATATGTATATGTATATATATACATATATATTTTTGTTTTCTATTATTATTTTTTTTCGATGGAATCATAGAAAATTGATGTATATTTTTTTTTTTATTTATTGATATTTATATATATGTATTTATGCTTGTGTATGGCCATACTTCAAGTTACGAATTAAAAATCTTTAACCTATCCTTATGTACTGTTTGTTTTTTGTCTTTATTATTTGATATTATTATGTTATTATTTTCTTCTACTTTTTCTACCTTATATGGTCCTGTATATTTAAAATCTAGCTTGTGACCTGTTTCATTTTTCAATAGAACCTGGTCTCCTATTTTTAACTTCAGATTTAAACTATTCCTGTCATAACTAATTTTCTGTTTATGTTTATTTGACTCTAGCATTAATCTTCCTCTTTTCAAAGCTTGTTCTATCCTAAACTTAGATTCCTTAGCATAATCTTCTATATTGTAAAGTGGTTCTATTCTATCTATGCTATTGAAATACTCTGGTAAATTTGAGGTTCTACCAAAAACTAGCTCATATGGACAGTAATCATGTGCCATTGAGGGTGTAGTATTAAAAGAATATACGAAGTACTGTAACCACACATCCCAATCTGATTTGTCGACTGAGATGTATGACCTGATGAACTCATTAAATGTTCTGTGGCTTCGCTCCACGGTTCCTACAGTCTGGTGATGATGTGCAGTAGATGTTATGTTTTTAATATTTAGATTTTTACATAAATCTTCAATTATTGAATTCTTATACTCTGTTCCCATGTCCGTAATGAACGTCTTCATTGGACCGTACTTCAGAATAAAATGTTCAAATATAGCCTTGGCTACTGTCTTTGCACTTTTGTTCTCTATTGGTATGGCTACAAAGTATTTTGTTAAATCGCAGATTAATGTTACTGCGTATTCATTTCCTTTTTCGGACCTAGATAGTGGACCGATCGTATCCACAATTACCCTATCGAAAGCCTTTATTGGCGTATCTGTTATTATCAATGGGGCTCTGGTATGTTTAGTCGATTTCGACTTTTGGCATTTTCGACATTTTTTTATATAATTTGTAATGTCTCTTGTTATATTTTTCCAGTAATAATGCCTTTTTATTTTTGCCATTGTTCTTGCTATACCCGTATGGCCTCCTTGTATTGGATCGTCATGGAATGTAAACAGTATTGCTTCTTTTTCTTTTTCTTTATTTATTTGGGTCACCGGCTTGAGTAGCGCTACTCTTAATGATTTCAATATTTTATTGCCCATTTCTTTAAAAGATTCTATTGAAGTTGTTTCAAAAATCTTTTCGCTCGGTGCCACTTTGAGTCGGCTGATATTAAGCACACCGGCTTGCCTTTCAAGCCTTTGGAAGAACTGACCTAAGTCGAGAATTCCATTGCAGTACATATCGCTAACATCAATTCTTGCTATGACTTTTTTTCCATGCTTTAGTAAACATGTTGAATCTGTCGTACGCAAGGTCACTACTTTTCGTACCTCGTCATTTATAATGACTTCGTATACGTTGGGCTTTGAAGCTTTATTTTTAGTTTGCTTATGCAAATCTACTTTATCTTTCTCTGCGCAGAGATTTTTCTGTTTACTTTGATTTCTTGTAGTGACTTTTAGTATTTTGTTTCCTTTATGTATATCTTTTAAGTCTGTTATAGTTATTCTCGACAACGCATCTGCTATATGGTTGTCTTTTCCCTTGAGGTATTCAACTGTGAAATCATACTCCTCTAAGTCAAGTCTCATGCGCGTCAGTTTTGAGCTCGGGTTCGTCATTGAAAACAAGTAAGTTAAGGGCCTATGATCGGTTTTGACTGTGAAGTGTCTGCCATAAATATATGGTCGAAAATGGTTTATTGCCCAATGGATGGCTGCCAGTTCTTGCTCCGTTGTATTTTTGTTACTTTCCCCTTTTGTAAACGATCTTGATGCATACGCTACTGGCAGTTGTGTCCCATTATGATTTTGGGTCAGTACAGCTCCACAAGCTTGTTTACTCGCATCCGTCGTTATGCAAAATTCTTTGCTAAAATCTGGGTACTGCAACAACGTAGGCTTCATCAACTGGACTTTTAAATATTCGAAT